AGGTGAGGTCCGCTGCTACAGTGAGGGGCCTCTGCCCTGTACGTGCAGTTTTATTAGAATAAGAAAGGCATGTTCTTCGGGCATCTTCCTCTAACATAGAAGTAAACAAGAAGGAACTAGATGCTTGCCTTTTTATGAAAGTACAACAAGGAAATTTATATTTGTTTTATTAGTTTTTGTAAGAACAAAAGGAAAGAAAAAATTATATGTTCTCACAAATGGTTACTAACCTCCATGGATTTTGTCATATTCTATTTGTTTTATTAACTTTGTACGATCAAAAGGATACAAAAAATTATCTGTTTTTAATTCTGGGGTGATTTTGCCTTTATTTTAGGTTTTGGACCAGAAAAATGCATCTGGAGAGAAGATATCTGTGGATTATCTGACTGAGGTAATTTCTAGATCCTTCTTTGTTATACACACGTGTTTCAATTTTTCCTCATTGATCCATGTCTCCATTGATTTCCATGAAATTAGTTATTCATCGCGAAAGGGTTGTTACATGTTAGCTGAAGTTTAGTGCATGCCTACTGCCTACTTATTGTGCTCCAAGACAAGGAGCATGTTCGGCCAATCATAAAAAGTAGAAAGTATTGTTTAAAAAAGGTAAATAAGTATTGACTTTTAAGCAGTAAGTTTTTTTTAACTAAAATTAACTTACTTTTTTCTGGGAAAGTTTGGCAATAAAAGTTACTTAAATGTAATTTTTAAGCTTAAAAGTTGCTTTTAAGTACTTAACATAAAATGCTTTAGATGGTTGAGTGACTTGAGTCCATCCAGCTGCAAACATTCTAAGCGAGAATTATGTCCAGCTGTTTGTTCATTTGGATTGATTTTACACTTGAATGATAATCAAAAGATTGGCCCACAACTTTTTAAATTTCCTCAACGTACTTGTCTTTTGGTCTTACCTGTTCCACACAGTCGATTTTTTTAATTATTTAAGTTGGCTTTTGCAGATTTGCATATTTGCTGTCAGAGAGTCTCTAGCAAATGTAAGCCTTATCTGAAACTTTCATGTTAACTCCTGTCATGATCTCATGTGCTTTCTTGTATATCTCTCATCAGCTTGACAAGTCTAGAATTTTTGAGTTCTTCCTGTTTGATTTCTTGTTTTAAGACAGGTTTTTGGCGATAAGTTTGATGGTTTTGTGAGGAATTTTGCAACCTCATTCCGAAGTACCTTCATGACTCTAAGATTAATCTATGGATCCTCCCAAAATGTCAAAGGCGATGGACGATGGACACGGTCATCTAACAATAACAAATTTCAAGATCCAGTATGCATCTCTGATACTAAAGATGGTTTGGAATCAATTCCACATGCAAACAGTAGAGATGAACAAATATGCACTCATGAGCATATAGAAGAGGATAGGCCATTGGATTTGATAAATCGGCAACTTGTTCTGCATGATGGACATACGAGTCAACAGTTGGCTTGTTCTTCGAGCACCACATCTTATTCTGAAGTAAACCAGTTGATGATCAGCACCTTTGAAAAATCAGTAATAGAGCAAACTCGTTCTAATGACCTGAAGGCATTTGAGATTACTCTTGCTATGAAAAAGCTGCAACTTAAAGAAGCCCAACTGGCTGTCCATTCGGATGCAAATTTCTTGGAAAGATGTAAAATATCTATGGGTTTTTCTAAGGCTTCCTTTAAGGCGGAAAAATTCAAAACTCAGTTACTCGATACAAGACAAGTGGAGTTGCTTAAAAAATGCTTAGACGTTCTAGTTGCGGGTTTAATCACCATGTTGTTATCTCTTGGGTATGGAGCTTATGTTTATTCTCATAGAAGAATAACGGAAGCCACAGAATCGTGCTCACCTTTTAAGGTATGGTTATTTTATTCAAATTTTTGACGTGCTTGTTTTTGTTACCACAAAACTCTTCATCATTTTCTTATGCCTGTAGCATGTACTTTAGGGTTTGGATGATCCCCGATTAACCTTTTGGAAAGGGAAAAGAATTTGACTTTTTACACTTTTTTACTTTTTTGATATATAAATCAATTTTGAAGGATATTAAAATTGATTAGCTGCATTTGCTTCAGGTGAACCAAAATTGGTAGATGTTAATTAATGGTTTAAAAATTCCTTTAGTCACTTATCTTGTAGCTGAGCTTCTTGTTAGTGACCAATTCTTGTATTGTTCCAAGTGGTCACTGATTTTGCATTTTGTCTCACTTTTAGTCAGTTAAAATCCGTTAATTTTTCTTACAGATTTTCTGACATGAAAGACAACAATGTGACATAGCATTAATGTGGAGGTCTTCCATGTCAGGCATTCTGTTAGAAAAACTAATGGACTTCGACCAACCGACCAGCTTGGAGCAAAATAGCGAACTTTAGGACATATTCATGTGGCTCTCTCTGCTTTGGTTTTGATGCTCAGAATGCTATTTTTGTTTTTCTTCAAGGAAACCAAGTCTTGGTGGATGCCGAAATCAATGGCAACTTTCAGCTCGGGTCTACAATTATTAAGGTGTCAAGTTCAAGTTTTAAGTCGCATGTTGTTTGCCGGACTAATGATCGGAGCAATTGCCTTTTTGCTTATTCAGAGATCTGCTGTAACAAATCAGACCATGCCAATTACTTTCATAATGTTGCTATTAGGAGTTGGATGTGGCTATGCAGGAAAATTTTGCATTGATACATTGGGAGGCAGTGGAAATCATTGGTTAATGTACTGGGAAGTTTTATGCTTGCTGCATTTCCTATCCAATATTTGGACTTCGGCATTGTTTCTTATTCTCTATGGCTCGATCAACGTCTCAGATAAGGTGAAAGACAGCACGATATTTCCATATTGGATAAGGAGGTTTATGTTCTTCACTACTCTGCTGCTTCTCCCTTTGTTGTGCGGTTTTATGCCTTTCGCGAGCCCTGGTGAATGGATCAATCATTTTTCATCACGGGCTATACGGTTTGTGTCAGATGAAGATTGATTCTTGGATGATTGGATAGCATCGGATTTACAATCTAGTTTCGTTATCTTGCTTAGTCTTGTTGAGTAGTGCTTACTGAATGTTTACAAAGTGTACAGATTTTCCCTGATTGGCCTCAAGTCCCAGCAAGAGCACAAACATGTCGTCTGATGTATGTCGTGCATGCCAACATCGTAGATTATTATACGTTTTCGAGGGCATATGCCACAGAGGAGTGCTGGCGAGGATGTAATTTTATTCTGTCTCAGGCTTGTTTCATTTCAACTCTTGTTATGTACAACAGTTTATTATTACCGAAGATTTATCTTTTATTTATCTCAACACAAGAAGTTCTGGGTATTCCCGTCTCACTTGTCCAATGATATTATGTCTCGGGTTATTATAGTGTCTTCATTGCTGTGATGATTGAAATGTATTTCTTGATCTAGTGAAGAGTTTATATTGAAAACTTGTATTGTCCCTCTCGATTCAACTGGGGTTTGAAATGAAGCCTGTCTTCAGAATTTTGCACAAAAGCACAAACCCCATCTGCGGAAACTGTGATCTTAGCATGGTTTGAAAATCACAACGCCATTACCAGAAGCACCAGGCAATTAACAAATTACAAACAGATTTGTACAATGGACGCCCCAGTCAGCTGATCTATGACCACCCTGGTGTTTCGGCAATATGCGTAGTTGAGTATGCATATCAGTTGATCTCTTGAAGGATATGTCCAATCGTATTTGGCTGGGAATTGGAAAGTTTGGGCGCCGGGAACAAGGAATTCTCATTGAAAAAAGTGCTCTCTAAAATGAACATGAAAGTCTTTTTCCATCAGACGGCTGTTCCCGTAACTCTACTCTCGACTTGGATTATATATCAAATTGTCATTGAGATATGAAGAAATGATGAAACCAATTTTATCCCGGGGAGGTCAAGTATACATTCATTTTTCGATGATTTCAATCTTTCTAAAATATAAAGGAAATAAGGACTAGCATAGATAATTAACAATGTTCAAAAATTATGACCAAAATTTAGAGCCAAGGACATTCATTGTGTTTCCTGCTAATAACATAATAAAAGGTATGAATAAGTAATTAAGTTCTCATTTTTACCCTATTTCCTCTACTAGTCTAAACCTGATTCAAGCTTAGATTTTAATCAGGGTAAGAAATTTCATACTGCAACTTTGATTCTTTCGGAAGATCCGATTTACCACAGCAAGTGGTCCAGGGTAAAAGATTCTCTCCATACAAAAACCGTGCTTGACAAAATCATTCAGAGAATTTTGTGTGCCTTCCCATAGTATCTGTTGATGAATGGAGCCTGCAAAGGAAGTTGTGGATCGAGGTTAAGATTGTTTAGCTCAAACAGTATCATTTTCAGTAATAATATGAAACACACCAGAGAAATTATATTTGAAAATAATAGACTAACAAGGATAAGCTCTAATTTACAATCTGTTACTCGGGCAGCAAGGTTAGAAGTTAAAATAAAAGCACGGGAACCGACCATTGGACAATAAAAAATATATAAGATGTAATGTACTAAAAAACTAGCCAAATTTGCACTGTAGAGGCAATAAAGAAAGCTGCTCAAGTGAATATAAATACTGAAAAGTGGAGACTGAAAAGTGGAGAGGGCACAGGTTTATCTCTCCACCGAATGTGACTTGAATTTAACGAGGGAGATGAAAAAGTTTTCCGGTGCTTATTTTAGAACAATGGCGAAAAATGACGCCCAAATAGTGCATATATTGGATTCTTCGTTATTGTTAGACTCGTCTTGGTCCAATTTACAATGACATTTCTAAGATGCACCTTAAATTATGTAGACAACCAATGATACTAGTAAGTATATAGTGGTAAGAACAGATCCAGGCGAAGAGATCACAAGTTAAATCAAGTGATCTTCAATACCAGAAGGTGTAACATGCCAAATAAGTATTGTTCGACTTCACCATGCCCATATATTTCTTAGAATTTGAAATTCCAACCATAGCACTATAAGCAAAACTGCAAAAAGTGGTTTTCTCAGTAAAACCAATTGCAAACTCCTTGCATTTGACGCACATGGAGCATTTAGGTGGTGAGAGAAATGAACAGAATGACATCATGAAGCCAGGAATCTTTTTGGGCTAAATTTTACCACTTTTTCTCTTCAGCAACAGACGGTGATGAGCAGATATTTACCTTGACACCTGATACATCAGGAGTATCAGGTGTGGACACAGGATAGAATTTGTAGAACTTCATATTCTCAAATGCAGCCTTCACTTCTGTGCTCATTTCTTCCAAGGCCTTTCTACGAGCTTCCCTTGCCTATAACAAATAAAAAGAGAAAGCAACATTCAACAAGCAGCAAATCCAAATGATCAACACGAACTTGGCTCCACTCACTCTTAAACAACGTACCTCACGGTTAGCTTTTTTTGCTTCTCGAACTTTCTCTTTCACAAAATCCTGAAGGAAAACACGGATATATAATTCATATTGAAGTCAATTCAACTACAACTACATGCACCACATCATGAATGTTTACCTTGAAAGCATCTTTTTGATCTGTAGACAACTCTTCTTCCTCAATAAGCTTATCTGTGAACTCCTAAACATATTTTGATTTGATCAAGTCAGACGATATTCCACTCACACCAATCAACATGAAGAAAAGCTTCAATATGCTGATTGTGTCAATACCCATTGAAAATCGGAACTTGTAATAGTATACCTCAAGTTCATCAAGTTCCCAATCAAACTCGCAGAAAACCTGGAGAGCAGAGTTGACACTAAGTTAGCTTGTTGCCAAAGTTTATACACGACTTCCTAAACTGAGTCAGCATGTGTTGGTGTGATATATGCTGTAGAAGTTCACCTAATCACCTAAGCAAAATCTAAGATTTCTATAAGAGCTATATGCAAGTAGCACATAAAAATTAGCATGGTATAACCATGTAGATGAAACTGTGAATTAGTATTAGAAAAATAATCTTACTGGCTTGGGATCTATAGGAAATAAGATCTGAACCACTGTGCTCTGTTCGAGTTCATCTTCCTGGAGAGGCTGGTAGAAGTCTGCCAAAAAATAGGAATCATCAGAGACATTCTACAAAGTACACACAAAAGGATCATATGTTACTGTCATATATGTTCTTCTAAGCGAAACCCAAAAGAACATCGAGAATTTACAAATTGGTTCAATGCTAATTCAACACCACCAGAATATTGGAGTAACGTAACCTAGATGGCACCCAAATAATTGTTGCTGGCATGTAGGATATGCACTCCAATACTGATTTACTGAAAAAAAAATGTTAATATTTGATACTGAATGCTTTGGACATTAAGAATGTATTAATGTAACAGTTGAATTATGAAACAATCATTTGTTCCCAATGTTAATTCTGCATAAGTATTAGAATTTGTTAATCCAGCATGCTTTCATCATCTACTGCCTTGGGTCTATGTCATACACTTGCTCATGCCTTGATAAGCGATGGGACTAAGAGACAAGTATAACCAAGACATCACACAGATCTGCAACATACACAACACACTTCGTTCCAAAGGAATTTTGTCCCTTTTTGGTAGGAATTAAAATTTTAATTTTAATTTAAGTCAAAGTCAACAATTAATTTTAACCACATGTTTCATAAGACCCACGATTTTTAAATCACACATTTCATCAACTTTTATCAAAATCTACTAAATATACGATATTTTTTCCCACCAAATAGGGGCCTAGTGAGATTGTAAATTATAACCAGAAAAATTCTTGAAGTATGTCTCAGGTAAGTCAAAAAAGATGAATGGAAATTGAACTAGAAAACCAAATAAGATGGCCTTAAAACTTCTGCTAAGCAGTCCAAAATTAAATAAAATGTCAAAGCTTGTGGAGAACAGTAGAACTACTACTAATCTAAATATTACAGGTGCTTATGGAAGTTTCAGAAAGGTAAAATGTTTTTGAGAATATTTACCGCACGAACAATATTTCTAAGGTCATTTATAGATTTGTAAGAAAACAAGACAGAAGAAGAGATATTTGACAAGGGTTGGGAGGAATTATATTGTCAGGAAAGAACTAGTCCTCTCTTGCTTTAAATACAATCAAGGTTTTTTTCGCTAGATAAAGAAATGGAAAGGTATCTGAAAGAATCTAGAACAAAGAGAATATAGTACAGAAACAGAATGTACTCAATTGAGCTCGGATTTAGGTCATTCCAAGAATTCCTGAAAGACAGCAGAGAGTACCTCTGATGGCTCTCCAAGGGACAGCACCAATTACTACATTTGCATCAAATCCCTTTTCTCTGGATGCAAATGTCAATTTCCTCAACACTCACAACTTAAATGAAAAATAGAACTAAAATATAAGCAGAAAAGGGAAAGTATGTCACTCACAAGGTAAGCAATACTCGAACTTCTTCACGCGGTCCAACTTCAATTGTTTTAAACCAGCCCTGCAACAAAAGAATATTAGGAATTAAACATAAACTTCCACTGGTGCTCTTTCTTTTTCTCATATATTCATCAAGAACGTGATAAAAAGTTACTGTAAATACAGGAAGCCAATCTGACTTTTACATTGGAACCACTTCTCAGATATAAATTCGAGATATGTAACAAATAAGGAAGCAAAAACCACAAAAGATTCATAAGACTATCACAGTGATGATATATAAGAGAGTCTTTAATGTAATGCCAAACACAGTTAATGAATGCAACCAAGTAGAAAATACAAATAAACCATAGTACTCATGTAGGTTAAACCATGTTGATAAGTAATCTTCGTTCCCTAGCACAGAGCAAACAGTCCAAAAGACTTTCAAGGAGGAAGGAAACGAGAGGAGCACGCAAGAATTAGAAATGTACCTTCTCTGGGTGCAACTCAAAATAAAAATTTGGGATTTAAGTCTTTCAACTTGAGAAGCCCTGTAAGCATTGAAATTGAAGAACTGTCATCCAAATGAGGAAGGAAAGCAGAACATGATAAAACCAGGATTTAATACCTATTTTCCAATGGGATGAATGGAACCCAGTCCATTTTCATCTGTTTCATAGGCAAAATTTCTTCTGTCTCCCTCTGCACTGATTTAATGCCAATTTTGTCTGAAGGAGGAAAGGGTGACACCACCTGTTCAGAAGAAGATATACATAAAATACTGGCAGCAAAATTACATTGAACGATCATGCAGAACACAGAGATTAAACACACATTTCTTATCATATAGACACTCTGAAAACAGATTCCACTTAACCATGGACACAGCAGCATGAAACCATCAGTCAAAACACAGGCCCAAAGGCCAAAACCAGTAGAAAACAACAACCAAACTCCAAACCCACCTTTTCCGACAATCCTAACGAAACATGAATTAATTAGCTCTATCTGGTTTATATAACTGTCCAAGGTTCAATGAGCTCAGCTTTACAAGCAGGTGTGAACATTTTTGACATTGTTTTTGAAATTGAGTGAGTGGTCTCTTTGTATTCTAACTATGGTATGATGGGAGCATGGCTGGAGGGGAAGATGAATTCTGGCAGGGCAGTGAAGTGGAAGTTGTCGAAAGGCACCACAGGGAGAATTTCTTTTTCTTTAGTAGGGGATGAAGAGTTGTTTTAAAAGAACCAAAAATCTCCAGTTTTCTAGTTCTTTGTCTGGTCATTTTAGGTAACTTGCCATTGTTTGAATCAATGCAACACAAAAGGAATCAATTCAATTTGAAACAAAAGGCAGAACAATAGAAGAAAAAATGATACAAGTATGATAAAAGCAATTAACTATCTCGTGTTTTGAGGACTTACAGCAACCACAACAGGAATCATTGTAACTTTCCCTTGACCCTGGAAAGAGACCAATTGTGCTGCAGGAATAAGTAAACAGTTACAAAACGACTAAGAAGGAGAAGGATAAAAGCTCCAAACAAAATGTGATTGAGAGAGTAAACAACAAAATGTTAAAGGAAACCAATGACAATATCCAATTATCAAAAAATTATAGAAGAACGAGACATAATGGTTCAAGTATTTCAAGAAGAGCCAGAGAGATTACTCCTGCCAAAATACCTCATTAAGCACAGTGCACTGTTTACTTTATTATATTAAACATAACTATATATTCAAATTGCACAATGCATGTGATGTTCTCGAAGAGCAAAGAAAAAAGCCAAGTTTTAAATTCCACTTACGCTCTGTACATCCGAAAAGGTAGACCTTTTGATTGTATAACAGTCCACCTTCTTCAAATGCATCCTGACATTGACCCACAATGTGTTAGCATCATCCCTGGAAACTTTTCTTTTAATTTCATAACTCTGCCATCTGAAGGTCTAACTACAATTACTACTGGCTTTGATTAAATAACAAAGGACAGTTCAACATAAACCTCACAGTGCAAAATCAAATAAGGGCAGTTAACATTAGGCAACTCACTTCTAAATTTGAGAAGTTCCAATTGTATTGATACACCATGTCCAGCTGATCCCACTGGTGTTTAAAAAAAAAAAAAGAAGGATGAAAAGGAACTTCAGGAAGATATAAAATGTAAACTCAGAAGCACTAGAATTGCAAATGAAATCTTCATGGCTGCTCAAAATTTTAAATAAATTCTAACCTCCGTGCCAACTGGAAAAACCTGTTTCCATAGGTCTTCCTGCACAATGTCATTGCAAAACAATTAATAAACAAACTTCTTTACATTACACAAATTCCTTCAGTGTGTCAAACTAAAATTACAATTACACTAAAACAGAATCCATTTAACACAACTGAAAAATAACTCAAAAACTTCCATTACAATTTACAACTTGGTCTTACATTACATAGAAAAATGCTCCCTGAAACTTATCAAAAAAGAATGATATATGCTTATCTATAAATCAAAATAATTACCAAATTCCTCTTGTCAGGAAAATACTCTTCCTCCACCTCCGGCTTCAAAGTCTTGGCTTTCTTAGCTCTACCTTTAGCAGCTTTCTTATTCGGTTCCTCATCCACTTTTTCGCTCAGCTCCTCCCGAGCTGGCTCGTTTAGCTCTATGTGATTCTCTTCAGACTTTCTCTGGTCGTCCTTGCTTACCACAGCCGATTGGCTCGGCTCATTCTTCTCATTCTCCTCGATAGGCTGTGTCGTCTCCTTCGGAGCTTTATCATTGACAGTAGTCTTCCTCTTAGTACCCCTCCGCATTACAAATCTTTAGAGCGAGAAGGTAGATTATCTAGGGTTTGGTGAACCCAAATTTGAATTCACTGGAGCAGATGTCGGATGGCGGAAACAGGCTGATGATGAAGGGTCAATTTTCTGCATTAAATACACCGTGAAAAAAAGGTGTAAAGCGTGAAGTTTACGCGCGTGGAAGCTACGCGATCCGACAAAGTACAAAATTTTAGGCATGACGTACTACATGAAATCTTTTAGTAATTGTATTACTGACCCCAACCTATTGTTCTATTAGCAATTTGGTCTTAAACGTTTAAACTGTAGCATCTTCATCCTTAAAGTTTATTTATAGTTGCACTATCAATATAAAAATCTACATTAATCATGACTTGGTTCTCATATGTCTAACTTATAAAGCTATTTTTTTTCACAATTGGATTGTTGTCCGAAAACTTATAGCAAAAAATATTTCTATCAGGATCATACCAAAATTTAACATAAATTTGAATGATTTCAAATAGTTGCAAAGCTATAATTAAGGATTGCAACCACCTTGCTCCTATTTGAAAATTATCAACTAAATTGTGACATGATCATGAGGCTAGATCTAAATTAATATTGGTGTTTCGTCAACTTTCAGATGCCCAAATTAAATGCTCTATCCATACATCCCCTCAAATCCTCTTTGTGGACTTTGAGAAAGACCCCTATACCCAAATTCTCCTTCTTCCAATGCCACGGCATGTGGGGTTCTCGTTTATCAGATTTCCTCTTAATAGAACCTTAGTTCCTTGCATTAACATCATTAGGAATGTTGTGAGAAAACATAAATGATAATGACAATCATACTTTGTTTTTGGCTCTATCTAGGTGCAGATGGATTGCTGTATTGAAGGGGACTGACAAATAATTTAATTTAGAAGAAAAAAATGTGGCTTTCAAGGACCACAAACTTTGCCTAGTTAACCTTGGACCAGAGCCGTCCCTATAGCTCCCACGATCTCACCTACTGCTCACCTTACCCTACCATACTCGGTCATCGCGCTCATATGCTAACACACAATAAAAAAAATAAAATAAAACCTTCACATAAATTAAATAAATTTTAAAACAAGCAAACTCGGAGGATTGAATAGTTAAGACATACTTAGTGCTAACCTTGACATTGGGCTCCACAATTTTAAGCATATTAAGCAACTCAGGGAGCGTACATTCGATCTTATTCATATTGAAGTTTATAATGAACCGCAATCAATGCATGACCCCAAAACAATTTTGGGAGATTTGCATGACTTGTTATTAATCGTATTATATCTAATAGTTAATGATTCCTCCTTTTAGATATACCACAATACTACAGTGTATATGGGGGAGTCCACTGCAAAAGAATCTCATTCTATCCTTATGAAAATAAATTAAACATTCATTTACAAGTAAAAAAATATCTACTTATTTAAAAAGTCACTTTTAAAAAAACAACTCACATATGTGTAAAAATATTATGTATATGTAAAAAACTACAATTACTTATAAGCAAAAATTACTTATAACTTTAAAATTCACATTTAGGTAAAAATAAAAATAAAAATGACATATTAGCTAAAAGTCACATAAAAGTAAACAATCACTTATAAAAAAACTTAGATCTAAAACATTTAAAATTTTGATTAGAAAATCACTTATAAGCTTAAAACTTTTTATTTTTATTTTTTAACTTATTAGTCTAAAAGTTCACGTATAGGTAACGAATTACATATAAATATAAAATTATAACTAATTTTTTCTCAAGAGTTAAAAATCACGAATAAGTAAAGAAAAAAAAAATTACTTAAAAAATCACTTATGAGTAAATTTATATATAAGTAGGAAAAACTACATATAAATAGAAAATATTTTATTATTTTTTATTGTTCAATACTTCATGTTATTCTAATACGATCTAGCACCAGATGTCACATTACAACAATCCACTATTGTTGATGGCTGAAAATGGCGTGATAAATTTAGATCGGCATAGAATGATTCTAGTACGATAATTGCTGAAATATGATAAAATAATTGAGTAATTCTTATTGGAAATACTTCGAAGTGTATTAAAGGAATTCGTTGAGTTCCTTATTACGAGGGACCAATATCTATAATATAGACCTTTATATAAGAGTTGACTATTCCATCACATCATGCTACAATTTCGACCTCGATATATATATGCACCATCTTGATTGAAGAGTTTTCATTGGTTGCCGATCAAGTCATCATTCCTCCTAAGGTGTAATTGTTGCCTAGGTTATAATTGTCTGTTATTTAGGCAATCACTACTTTTGACTGATCAAACTAAAGATATTGACATTAAAGGTGACACTTGTTCCTCCACGATTGAGCAGTTTTGCAATGATGACATCACTTGGGGCCTATTTGAGCCATATTATTTCAAAAAAATGCATTCTTAAACACTTAGTGAATTATCCATTGGTTTCCATGGCTAACAATCCTTAAGGTATGTTCTTTCATATCTTAGTCTCATTTAGACAAGTTTATTTTCGAAAGTATGTTTGATTGGTTTTATTTTTCATTCAAATTCTTATTTTTTAGATGTTTGATTAACAAATTTTCCATCAAAAATATTTTTCAACTTTCTGGTCACGTGACCATATTTTTTTCTAAAAAAAGAAAGAAAATATTTCTTTAGAGAGTGATGATTTGTGTTTTCTAGGTAATTTATTCTCTCTCTCTCTCTCTCACATGTGTGCACACCCCTTTATCTATTTATCAACAGAAAATGAACAAGTACAATATTTTTTAATCAGAAAAATAAATCAATCAGACATATTTAATTCATAATTTCCATACAAAATAAGTTCTAGGCTATTCAATTGCCTATAATTTATTTTATTTCCATGTAAATTTCATACTTACAATTAAATACATTCTTATTTTTGTTATTAATTTTCACTAAAATGAAATTTCAAATAATGTATTTGTAGGTAAATAAGTACTTTAAATCAAGAGAATTATGAGGTAAACCTGTACTTTCTTAATCTTAAATTGAGGCTTAGGGGACAATGTAAAAAATGGATTTCAATGTATTAATTTAAGAACCAAATTAATGAAATATTCCACAGAAGTGACGTATTTATAATTATTTAAGAAAGAAACTAATATTAACCAAGTACGTGCTGTGGTATTAAGTAATTGGCCTATCCCAATAGCTAAGGGTCCATTTGTTAAGATTTTTGAAAAATTGAAAGTACATTATGATATTAAGAAACTGCCTCTGAATAATTTTTCGAAAGTTTTTTATTTGATTAAAACAATTTTTGTAAAAATAGATTTAAAATATCTTTCTCATAAAACTATTCTATAAAATCAATTTGGGCATTGTTTGACACCTATTATTTGAAAAATTATAGAGTTTTGAAAATTATTTTTTTGAGAATGTGTTGTTAAGAAGTTAGGAAATTTTATTGGTTTGAATGCAGAGTATTTTATTGTATGAATATGTGGTGAAAAATGATATTATAAGAAACAATTTAAATTTTTTAAGATCGTCAAACAGAGGCTTATGCTATTTCCAGCGCTGCACCAAATTAAAATTCATCTCCAACTATTACACCAAATGAACAGTGTTTAACAATTTTCTTCCATTTTTTTATTATTAATAATTTTTTTATTTGGAATATTATTTATTTAATTATTTTATAAATACATAAATTACTAAAAAAATAATTACGTTAAACTACGGAAAAAATTAAATTCATTAATAAATATAAATAATATAGTATAATTAGTAAAAACTTTTTACGTGTCGTTGTTTTTAAATAAAATTAGATTATCGTATGTATGTCGTCGTTTAATATATTCGTGTTAACTTTAATAAATAATCGTGTTTGTTACATTTTAAATTTTTTTCTTCCAATTAATTCATTAATTATTATTTTTTACATTTAAAATTTATATTAAAAAATATATAGCACAAATGACATAAATACCCTTAACAAAATTATTTGGAAAATGATAAACGAGGGCAAAAGAGACTTTATACACTTTACACCAAATAATGATGCATTTTGGTGCTCAAATTGAAGATGTCCTTCGAAGCTAGAGCAAAAGCTAGGTCGAGCGCATGGTAAAATTTGAAGTGTGCCCGTATCTTCTTAGTTCTGGAAACTTGGCTTCCTGGCTGACCACACCACCATGACGATGGGCTGGTCCAGTTGTTGTTTAGGTTCGCACTATTTTTAATTAATAATATATAAACTATACGATTGTTTATCAGCACCGTGGATCCGTGGCGCAATGGTAGCGCGTCTGACTCCAGATCAGAAGGTTGCGTGTTCGATTCACGTCGGGTTCAATTTCCTGTTGTTTTACTCTTCGTTTATTTTTTTTTTGTTTATCCTACGTTGTTCTCTCCTTTAATTATCACCACCGTTGAATGGAGTCGCACAATAATTTGCAAGAAAAGAAAAGGGAAAATAGATGAACATGTCTCAATCTTCCACCAAAGATGCATTTTGGTCCCCATCCTTCCAAAAGGATTGAGATAAGTCCAATACATTTTCATTTTGGTTGGGACATGCAATTTTTACAATTTTTATGAATAATATAATTCGTCTAGAGTTTAATAATCATCAATTTATGTAGTTGTGATGCAACTTTTACGTTGTCCAACAAAATTTAAATACATTTTTATTCATTAAACAATATTATAATTATTATTACTGTCATTAGCACGTAAATCGATAATCATTTATATTAGTTGGATGAATAACTTTATTTTAATATTTTTATTATTTTTTTTGAAACGCCGTTTATTGTACCAGTGTGCTGCATATAAAATGAAATTCAGGACTAAATTTCTCATTCTAAAAACTCAGAGACCAAAATGAATCTTATGAACGATTGGGGATCTAAGCTGCTATTTTCCCAAAGCAAAATCTTCGGCGGTTCAGCCACTCCTAATCTTTGCTCCTCCCCAAAAGTGCTGCTCTGCTCTCTCTCTCAAGAAATCCATCAACACTTCCACCACCGCATTACTAAAATTTTTAAAACGACCCTGAACTCCTCGACACTCCCATTTAACTCCGGCGTCTCTTTCCCACATCCAAATTCACCTTCATTTCTTCACCAAATCATGCTTTCACTCAACATCCACGGCCACCTTGAAGAAGCAGACCCGTTTCTATGTGCATCTCAACTCGACCCAAGAATATTCCAGGCCCCCAGAAAAGAACTTCTCATCTTCCGAAGCAGAGGACCTGGTTTCGTTCAATCTTGAGAATTCAGAGAGAACAAACCACTGGTGACTACTCTCGGTAAGTATGCCAAGTTTTTGAGAACTGTGTATTGTTTTATGCTCTTTGAAGAACTTGTGAAGAATGATAAATGGCTGCAGTGTCTTGAGGTTTGGTCCCTTCTCAAAGATTTCAAATTTTTTCCATCATTTTCTTATTATTCATACATTTACTAAACTTCTTGAGCTATCTGTTTAGTTATCTAGGTATGTTAGGGATTGTAACTTTAGAACTTTTCGTTGATTTTAGCAATTTAAATGGAAATTTGAACTTTGCCCATTTTTACTTTAGTTTGCCTGGAGCTATGCCCTCAACAAACCCTACATTTTCGTGTCATTCTTTTGACAATGGCCAACTGTCTTGAAATGTAAGTCAGAGAACACCCAATGTGATTTCGAAAAAGAGACGAGGAACGTGTAAATTTTATGTGTAGAAATATTCGTTGTTGATTTTATCCTTTTACCGATGCAGATTATCTTGCTGATAGAGTCTATAACCTCATTCTAGTTTTACTAGATAAAACTCTGATATCTCAAGCTCTGTCTTTGTAATTTTATCTACCACAGATAATATTATGCATTTTTTCACATAGGTCTTCTCAAGCGCATATCCTAATTGGTTCGTGTTGACTTTATATTGTGATGTCTGTTTTTAGGGGATGGGGTGAATTTTATTCATGTACCTGAGCATGTGCAATTTTGCTGTACTCAAAATATGCATGTCAATGTGAGTGCCTGTGGATATGTGATGGTTTGCCTCATGCGAGTGTGCTTGACAGAAGATGCAAAATTTTGTTATTATATTGAGATATACACGAACCAAGTGTAAGTCTTCTTCATTTGTGTATGAAGCACTTCGTGAACTTGAACTCATATTGGTGTAAATTTTGGAGACAATTGAAAGATTAACTAATTTCTTGTGAACTGAAGATTTGTCGAGGGTTAAGGCAAGAACAAATGAAGGTATAGTATGCTAACTTATAGAAGATAATGAAAGAAAATACTAAGATATGTGGTTGAGATTCGGATGAAATTCATTCCACGGTTGAGATCAAATGGTACATATATCTTTTCTTGTAAAGGATAATGAAGCTAAAGATAATGTGAAAATAAAAGTGCAGTTGAGATTCGAATGAAATCCATTCAACTACTATTTGATCTCAACAGTTGAATCGCACGCATTTATTTACGCATTATCTTTTGCTTCATTAAAAATTAATGAAGCAAAAGATAATGTGTAAATAAATGTGCGTGGTTGAGACTTGGATGAAATCCATTCAATGTTTGAGATCAATTAGTACATATAGCTTGTCTTATAAAGGATAATGAAATCATTCAACGGTTGAAATCGAATAGTCCATTCAATTGTATCTCTATAAATGTGAATCCCTCATTCAATTCAGTTCATCGTAAGTACGAATTTCAATATTGGAGGTCCATCAAATATTTCATCTTCTGCTTCATCTTCATTATCCGGCGGTGAAAGTGATAATAAAGTAACACTTTCGAATGAGCTTGAATATATAAATGTGAATCCCTTACTCAATTCAATTCATCGTCAAGTATGAATTTCAATATTGGAGGTCCATCCAATATTTCATCTTCTGCTTCTGACGGTGAAAGTGATAATGAAGTAACATTTACGAATGAGCTTGAATCTATTGGTGCAGAACAAGAAGCGATTCTTCGCATTTATTCCAACGACATCCTTGTTGATCATTATTTCAGTCAATAAAACAGCGAACCGATCCATGAAGGTTCCACTTACAGTCATGTGATAATCCACCAGGATCGAAAAATGTTGATAGAAATATGTTCGATGACTATTTTTCTAAGACGCCATGTTATAATGAAAATTTATTTAGTCGATGATTTCGAATGTCTTGAAGTTTATATGTATGTATTCTTGAGGCCATGCAAGATCATGACAACTATTTCGTACGGAGAAGGGACTCGAATTATCAGCTTATTAAAAAATAACAGTTGTATTTCATTCGTATGGAGTCGTAGCAGATGCTCCATATGAATACATTAAAATAGGAGAATCCACTGCAACTAAAAGTTTTAAGAGATTTTGTCGTGCTATTGTGGAGGTGTTTGGAGATCAATATCTAAGATCCCCTAATGCTAATGACATTATGAGGCAACTCTGTATTGGTGAATAATGTGGTTTTCGAGGAATGCTGGGTAGTCTATATTGTATGCACTAGAAGTGGAAAGATTGTCCAATGGCTTGGGCAAGACAATATGCAAGTCCTAGTAAAACGCAACTATTATTCTTGAGGTTGTAGCTGATTATAATCATTGGATTTGGCACGCATATTTTGATTTACCAGGTTCCAACAATAATATTAATGTGTTGGAGGCATCTCACCTTTTCGCGAACCTAATCGAAGGTATTGCTCCTCCCGTTCATTATGTTATTCAAGGAAATGAATATAATATGGGTTATTATATAGCAGATAGTGTATACCCAAAATTGTCTACTTTTGTTCAAACAATTCATGATCCATGCGGTCCCAAAAAAAAATTATTTGCTATGAAACAAGAAGGATGTAGAAAAGATATAGAATGTGCATTTGGTGTTCTGCAATCAAAATTCAAAATTGTGTACATGTATGTGGGACAAACTTGTCTTAAATGATATAATGACTGCGTGCATAATTACGTACAATATGATAATTGAGGATGAATGTGACAAATGCCCAAATTGAAGATTTGATGGAAGTGTCAACTTCGGAAATCAGAGTTGATTGTAGATGAAAATACCCTACTTTAAGAATTCCTTTCTCGACATAGACAAATCAAGGATGTAGATGCGTACCTTGCACTTCGAGATGCGTTAGTTGATCATATATGGGATGAATACACTAATTCCGATCGATAAGTGACAAAATGAGTTGTTCTTCTCGCTATATGTAATTTTCCTCGTGTGTTTAATGTGGTTTTTATAATTTGTGGTAATATGTTTAATGTCTTTTTCATTTTATTAATAAATTCAATATTTTACTTCATTAAATATATAATTAATGACTTCTGTAATAATATAATTTCTAAAATAAAATTTAGTGTAAGAGATAGAAAGTGGGAGGTAGGAGAAATAATATTTAAATAATATATGTTAAGATTTGACATTGTTGATGGGGATATACTTAATTAACTAATTACCAAAATTCCTTTCAATATATATATATATATATATGAAATGTTAAAAAGGAAGAGGATCTATGGGTTAGGAATTATAATTCTCCAAATAGGTAGTATAGTCAAGAAGTTTTATTCAAATTAAAAATCACAGGGGCGGGAGAGTTTTGTGCTCATCTACAAAGAAAATATGGAAATGAACGAACCTTACCTCAGACTAATTGGAGTTTCATGCATAAAATTAATAGCTGCTCTCTTAGTTTATGTGGCTGTTGTATCAATGACTGATGGTGGGTCATGGCTTGGTAGTACGTGTTGAGGGGAAGTAAGTTACTGAACAAAAATGTTTAGGAGTGGTAAAGCAAATTCTGAGGCATCTTAGTATCTCAGTTTACACAGAAATCTAAGTTAGAAAGGTCCCACCCCACTTCTTGTCCTTTGTTACTATTGTAGTGAGCTCCATTAACTCTGGAATTTTGTTATCATTAACAAAATGAAAACGTTCGTTACTTATGTCTCTACATTCAGGTGTTCAGATGGATGCAAAAGCAGCGGTGGTACATAGCGGACAATGGGGGTCTATTCTAAGTTGATATTAGTTATGGGAGAAAAGGGGCAAACTCAGATGGACACTGGCTTTTTCTGAGATGCATAATAGTGGTTGTAGGCCTGATACATCGGTCTTCAATGCACTGATCACTGCTCACAACTTCACTTCCGGGATAAATCTAAGGCGGTGGCCAAGGATCTGGGATATTTTGACAAGATGAAGCGAATGGAGCGTTTTAAACCCAATGTTGTAACATATGACATCCTTTTGCGAGCTTTTTCTCAGGCAAAAAATGTTGGTCAAGTTAAATGTTTTGTTTAAAGATCTTGATGAGAGCATTGTGACCACCCCAGATTTTTCACATATAATGGTGTGATGGATGCCCATTGAAAAAATGGGATGATCAGGGAAATGGAATCTGTGCTTTCTATTATGAAGAGCAATCAGTTGAAGCCAGACATCATCTCATTTAATTTGTTGATCGATTCCTATGGGAGCAAGCAGGAGTTTGAAAAGATGGAACAAGTGTTCAAGTGCTCGTTGCTTTCTAATCACAATCCAACACTTCCTACATTCAATTCCTTGATTACAAACTATGGAAAAACACGTCTCACATCGTAATAAGACACTTACACGTGATAAAGTTTGGTTTATATCCCATACATCTATGCAAAAACCCCGTCTTTCGCGAGCGCACCAAACACATTGATGTTAGATTACATTTTATTAGAGATATTGTGTCACAAAAAGTGGTAAGACTTGAAAAGATACATACACAGTATAACCCACCGGACATGGGCATTAAGGTGATGTCATTGGTGAAGTTTAGAAATTGCATGGATCTTCTAAACATTGGTGGAGGTAATTAATTTTTAATTTTATTGATTCCTAATATTAGAAGTATTATAAACAGGTAAGGATGTCAACAAGTCGAGTCGAAATTCTAGGCTCAGGATTGGCTGGAGTAAAATGTCCAAACTTTTTTTCGGGCCCAAGCCGTTGCTCGACAAAAAAATTAGGCTCGACCCGAGCTGTCTTTTCGAGTCAAGCCAGGTCAGCTTGGTTTTTTTTTTTTTTTTAAACTAAAAAGCTCGTCTCGACTTTTTTTTTTAAACTAAAAAGGCAGTGGCAGTAACCTGCTACCTTAAATGGTAGCAACTAAAATTTTAGTTGCTGCCAAACAAGGTAGCAAACTGTTGCCTATTTTTGGCGGCAGCACGTTGCCTTAAAAGGTAGCGTGTTGTTGTCTTTACTTTTTTAAAAAAATATATGCTCGGTTTTTCCGAGTCGTCGAGCCACACGGGCTGGTTCGGGCTTTGTCCGGTACCTAAAAATGGGACTTGGACAGAGTTTCGAGTTTTTTCCGAGTCGACGAGCCCGATTGCTATTCCTATTAACAGGTGATAATGTTTTCTTTTTAGGTCTTTTGACACAAAGGTGAAGGTTTGTTAAGCAAATTGTTGCCAAATAACCTCCCCGGGCTATAATGTAACTTGGTAATTTTCTCAATCGGCATCGATCTAATAATTGAAGGATAGATTGACGCCAAAGTGAGATGACTTGATCTAAAAACTGTTTGGGCCATTTGAAACAGCCTAATTTTAATTAGAGCTGCTTACGGCCCATTTCGCGGCTAATATTAGATAACCCATTTATGTGCCCATTTATATCCATAATGGGCTCGACACCCTAATTGATACCTATATATTCTTTGGGGCACTTGTCCTCTTGGTAATATGAATTCACCCCTTTCTCTCTTCTCCGTGTGGGACTCTCTCTGTGTGGGTCTTCCTTACCGTTTTCTTCATTGCCTTCGTGGTTATCTCTCATCTTCATGATTATACTTTTCATTACACATCTTAAGTGGGTGAACTAAAGAGCAACTGTGATCAAGAGGGTGGTTTGAGGGATTTTGGATGATTTGCATATTGGTGTTGATTTGAGGAGAAACTGAGCCCGGTTCAAGCCTTGGTGGTCATCATCTTCTGCACAACACTGTCATTCTCTTAAGTTACTTGGGGTTTCTTGGTAACTCTTGATTCTAAGATTATACGAGATGATAATTCAGATATGTCATACTGAATTGGAAGTCAACTTGTACAAAGAATGTCAAGAAGGAAACTCTTCTGACAAGTTATTTAAATGGCTTAGAAATCAGCATAAATTATTACAGAATTTTGGTGATAAATAACTAACTGGAATATCCCTTTTTTTTCCCTTAATAAAAAGTAATTGGTTTATCTTGTGTGTATACTATAACTTAGAGACATTTCAGAAATACTAATATATGGTCTTGCTCTTGCTGTATTGTGAAGATTAGATGATTTCAGAAGTAAGAAATTGGAGCTTCATTTTTTCCTCAATAAAAAGTCTCTCTCTTGATATTATTGTTTAACCTGATTCAGAAGCACATAACAAAAAGGACAATGAGAAGCCAATCTTCCAGCTTATGATCATCTGTCATTCTTATGCAAAAGAAATTTCTTGCAATTAGGTTGTCAATGTCTCAGAGTTCATTAATATCTACCATGATTAACATCCTTATGAATTGAATCTGAAAATAATTAAATTTGACAACTTAAAAACTTTAACTGAGATACTTGTGTTTTGCATCTTGAGCAGAATTATAAAAACTAAATTTTGGTTTTGCTTTCTTCGAATTGGATTTTAGTTTTTGAATTTCTAATTCTTGAAATAAAACTGAATAAACTAAATTCATTCATTTTATACATCAATTCATTTGTGTGACATTATAAGTAATATTCATGTTTAGTACATTCTCACACATATAGGTGGGAATGCATGAACTCACTTATTGACGAAGAGATATTTTATAAATAGGGTGGAGTTATAGGCTTACAGTAGATATCCTGGGCACATTCCAAATGAAAATTTTTTTTTTGATACCCAGGTCTCCCAGCTTCACCAGACTAATTCCTGGACCTCAAGCCTCCGGCCCCTCATTAGCTTGAGGAAGTTGATCGCGGGTTGTGCTCTTGTTGGCTCCCAGGTTCCTGCATGACTTATACTCCTTCCCCTAAGAGAGCTCTCTTCATTGCTTTCCAGCACCTTGCCTTCGAGATAAATCCCCCTTCCAAGATGCAGCCTTCCAGGAATCGAACTCTCCACGCTAGGTTTGTGAGCCCACCAATGTAATTGTTCCACCAATTCGGATGTGCCCCAGGGGGGAATTACATTTGATATTGACATAGAAAGCCTTCTCACATGAAAAAGTAAATCTCGTAGTAAATTTAATGATTTGAGATGTGGTCGAAACTAGTTTAGTTAAAATTCAACATGACTGGGTAATTGAGAATAAATAAAGGAATCATGTGTTCTCGGTCAAACAAGTGAGAAGAGGAAGGTTAGAGCAAAATAAATAATTTCATGTTGCTTTAATCTTCCATTTGATTAGAGCAAAATTAATATGTCATGTTGCTTTGGTCTTCCATTTGATTGGAATTGAACCGAAATGCGTAAAAGGATTTATGTACTTGAAGCCGGCTTAGCCCTTGGCTATTGACTCATCCCCTTATCTACAATCCTTAGGTCTATTGGTGCCTTCTCTAAGACCCATGGTATACTATTAGTTAACATTTAATACCTCTCTCTCCTCACTTTCGCTGAGGAAATGCTCTTGAGCATGGCTTTACGCCTTTACCTAGCTGACCTCAAATTTATCGGAAGGAGGCTTACTTTGTTGTTGTTGTTGTTGTTGTTGTGTGTGAGTGTGTATATATATATATTTTTATTTTAGCATCAACTCAAGCCTCTGTACTTATTTGTGCCCATACCATTTCTGATGAGTTTCCTTGGTTCTTTTGCCACAGGTACAAATTTCCGAGAACAAATGTATGAATGTTTTTAGACATGCTACTAATTCAAAGATGCATCTTTAAGTGATGAAAAATGCTGTAGAGGTGATATCTTAGGACATACTTTGTTACACGTAACATAGATATGTTATATGTTGTCATGCTAATGTTCCTTCTGCTCTAAGCAAGCTTTTGATTTGTACTCAATCCGTCTCATAGAGATATATGTGCTTTCGTATTTCATGTGTCTCAAAATATAAGTCACTTTTTTCTTTTATTATTTTTCATTTTTATATTTTGGGTAACTTAGGTTTTCGAGTTTTGCGCAACTAATTCGAGGAGTGACAGTCTTTCCCCTTGATTTGCTACTCGAGTAAATCCAAATGTAGCCATAGCTTATATATATTTGGACCGGACATTTGGGATGCGATTCTCCCTGTGGATCGAACTTTCCTTTACGACCTGTGGACAAAACTTCCGGAGAGATGATAAAGTGCGCCAAACTCTGTATCCACAGAACGATATCCTTCCAACATAAATGTTTCCACTTTCCTTATCAAGAGTGTATTTGATTTTTTATTTTTCTAATATGTCCTTATTTAATGGGCATTGTTATTAATATATATGAACTACTCATATTTAAACTATTATTGAATTTAAGAGTATATTCGAAAAAATATTGAGAGAAAATTATATTTTCAATTATATTAATTACATTTTCTTAATTTGTGTAAAAATGAAATAAGTCTATTTTTATGGGACGGATGGAGTATTATTCTTTTGTTTGTATCTTCATTTCCTTTAGCATGGCATTTGTAGCGTCCCATTTTCTATCATGCATGTTGGTTACTTTTGATTTCTTGTTTTAATTGCTTAAAAATTTAGCTGGAATTTTGCTTTTCGGTGCCGGAGAACAGATCCTACCGGAATAAATGCTTAGCATTTTCTGTCGAAAACTGGGTGGAGGCCTAAAAATCACCAAGACGTGTATGTACTTGTAGGGACGATCCTGTGATTGTCGTGACTCGAGGCAAAGTCCAAAAATTAGACCCTCTAAAATCAATGTAAGTGCAAAATTCAACGGTGTATTATGCAATATATTGTCAACTTAAAAGCTTAACATTAGAACAACGAATAAATATCTCAATCGTCTCACATTTAATGAAAAAAACTATTTTCGTTTTCCTTCTAATATTTAAAAAAAAAAAAAAAAAACTATTCGGCCAAAATAGGCCTCCTATGATTTTGGGCATGAGGCACAGGTCTCATGTGTCTGGTCACAAGATCGGCTCTGTGTACTTGTCAAGTATTTTGTCATTTTGCTCTTTCTTTGTAATTTGTGAAGATTATTATAATTGATTATTTATGTTTAACTGTAATAATTATGGGAATGTAGAAAATTGATTTCTCGACACTTGACAGGCTTTGGTATCTCGACTAAAAAATGTTTTTTTCCTTTTTAATGTTTAATCACATTCAGTATTGTCAAATATATCCGTTTTCATATATATTGAAGGTTATTACATGTCATATGCACACATTTTTATGTACTTTTGCCCCTTTTCTTGAGAAACTTTCTATCTTAGAGAAGGATAATTAGCACATAATATTCTCACATTTCACTATTATTATGAAAATGTTTTTACCTTTTAAATTTTGGCATTTTATCCCTTATTTTTATCTTTTGTGTAAAAGGTCCTTTTATCCATTTTCTCAAGTAAAAGTTGTGAAATTGCGAATATATCTTTATATTTAAATAAAATAAAAAGAAAAAGAAAGAACAAATTGTAATCATAGTCCTAATTTTATTAAAAAAGTGCAAATGAGATCCAAATAAATTATTAAAAAATAATTTTCTTTTTTTTATTTAAATAGGAGGATATATTAATCATTTCACAGATTTTATTGAGAAATTGGATGAAAATGGATATAAAGGATGGTTTACGCAATTAAATGTGTAATTAAGGATTAAAATGTTAAAAAAGAAAGATAGGAACGTTTTTAATAATAATAGTGAAAGGTAGGTACATTATATATTAATCACCCTTTTAATGATTTATTGGAGACTCATTTGCTTTTTTTTAAAAAATTTTGGACTGTGGTTACGATTAGTTTTTTTTTGTTCCTTTTGTTTTACTTAAATAGAAGGACGTATTTGTCATTTCACAACTTTTAATTGAGAAAATGGATGAAAATGATTTTTTACGCAATGGGAGTTGGCATTAAGGGTGAAAATGTAAAAAAATGAAAGATAAAGATGTTATGTACTAATTACCCAAATGAAAATAAAATGTGCTAAACAAGTTATTCATTTACAGATATACAACATTCCAAATAGGAAGGCAAAACCGATTTGCAAATTCTAGTTAATAGACTCCCTAATCACATTTACAAAGTACCAAAGCCAGGAAGAAGCTCGAAAAAAATCGCAGCAGCTCGGTATGATACTTTGCTGAACATAAATGAGATGCAGACTTGGACAACTAAGAAGTTAGTTGCATGGGTGAAGGATACAAGTGCTTGTTTGGTACATAATATGATGAGATTGATTTGTTAATATTGAACGTTTTGTTTGATCCTCTTTACCAAACATGATATAAGATGTGTATGAGATTGTGGGTCATTAAGCAGGTTCAAGAGGACGGGATGCCCAAAGGGAACTTAAAACTCGAAGACTTTGAAAGTTCTCTCCCAAGGCGAGGAGGCCTCGAGCAGCTTGGTGGATGTTAATAATGCGAGAAATCTGCTGCAGGGTTTCTCCACGAAGATGATCTGCCTGTTTACAAGAACATCATAATGAATTTCTTGTTACAATTAGATTGATTCATGCTACAGCAATCTCCAAAAGAAAGAATAAAATTATAGTGAAAATGGTAATAATTCACTAAAAGCTTATCTAAGGGTTCATATTAATTTGGCAAGATTTTGAGTTAACTGAAACAATGTTTCTATTGCTAATGCATTCTGAGAGGTTTTTGAAAGAGCAAGTCATTCATTATTCTGTGTTAAGAAGCAAGCAAAATATACCTGATTCACAAATCTCACCAGAGGTCCCAACTTCTCCATTGCAGCGGCAAGCTGCGGGAGGTAGTTTCCTTGACCCAGTCGACCTCCACATATAGTTTCTGCGATAATTTGGTGGAGTTTATCTATTCCCTGTAATAACGCGTCTTCTGCTTGTTGACGCGACTGTCGGTTACTAACCTCCAATTGTTCATCTGATAAGGGTTCTAAATGTGGTAAGAGAACCTGTCGACAAATATAAAGTTATTGCTGACTACTGCCTCATTCACAAGAGAATGAAAAGAGAATCTTGGACATAAAACAACTTCTGAGAGTAGAGTCAAAGCACAAACAAAAGACATGCAATTTGGTTAGATGCAGCCCAACAGGTGCTTATGAGAGCCAAATGAAGTTTGTTTAAGCACATTGCCTACCCATAAACGAGTCACATGTGAGAGTTAAGACCAATTTCTACTGCAGCAGACTAGGGAGATTATTAGGTTTTCTTTCTCATACCTATCTGTCTAATTTTGCAGAAAAATGGGCTCTCTCAGATACCTGTAGGTGTAGAAAACTAGGCTCTTGTTTGAAAAAACTCACTTCCATTTCAAATTTAGTGTGACCATATTCCTAGTATCTGTCAAGGACAAATGGAAATGAATTTGACTTTTCCATCATGAACTTTAATTCTTCATACAATAAGAAAGTTGGAGGGTAAAAGTGTCATTTTAAATTCAATGGGTCATTGTCACTTTTCTTCGTTTGCCAAATGTCCTTTGTACCAATAATTTTTAAATATTAAAATACTATTCCAAAAGTTGATCTCTCATTAAAATGTAATTTTAATGAGCTTCAAATAAGCGCTAGGACGACCTAATAAGAAAAGAAAAATTTTGCACCTGCAGGTATAATTAGACTCCACATTGAGTTCAATGTAAATCTTGAGCTCTTAAATATTTGTATCTCAAAAGTATGCCTTTGGTTTCATAGAAATAAAGCACAAAATGTCTGGATAACTATCTGAAATGAAGTATGCATAACATCACCTTTAGAAGCTCTGAAGGTCGGGAGCCCCCAATCCACGACAAATAATGTTCAGCTGATGTTTTCCACATGCCGGACATAAGATAGAATACATCAGTCTTTGAAGCCGCGGCTTTCATATTGAAGAGGTCCAAATAGTGCCTCATGCCCCTATCGACAAAAAATTGCAATTCCGTAACCCCATTGCTAGACTGCAAAGCTTTCTTCAACTCGACAACTTGTCTATTTTGTTCTTCTACCCATTGGCCATATGCCGTTTCAAATGTAGCAATGCCTCCACATTCAAACAAAGACTGTTAGTTGCAGACATGCTGCTGTTCTATTAGAATTATAACGCTTGGCATTCTTAACTTGGAAGATATCTGTAACTATCATCTGTCACCAGAAACGGAGAATCTGGTGGACACAAATCATAGCAGCTCATTTAAAAAACACTTAAACATAGAACAAGCTATTATATGTTCAAATGACTCCTTACAGAAAATTTTATTGGATTGATGAAAAATTTACTAGCTGTTCTTGACAGTAAATAAACTAAGAGACTCACCAAGTGTATGCTCTAATTTTGAACTTACTTTATCTCAGGATATCAGCAAATTTTGGCTGAGCTTATGGGAAAAAAGGAAGAAGCGCTTGAATGAAAAGTAATTATTTGAACTAAGGGCCTGTTTGGTTGCAAAGATGGAATTTGAGTGGAAAGAAAATGAATTCCAAGGAATTGAATTGCCTAGAAATTGTTTTATTGGAAATTGTCAATTGATAGTATTTGATTGGTATAATTTTCTAGGTGGAAAATATTGAAATAAAAGTGTCTTTTGATATTCGTTTGACTTTGTTTTTCATGAAAATTATCAATTTAAGGAATATTCACTTCTACTATTGTTCTTAGAATTTGTTTCCATTGCCAAAAAAAATAAAATAAAATAAAAAATCATCTATATTTTAGTGTTCGTTTGACTTTGTTTTACATGAAAATTGTCAATTTAAAGGCTATCATCTTTTACAATTGTTTCTAAAATTTATTCACATTGCCAACAATAAAAAAAAAAAGGTGGAATTCCAAAAACCACCTACCTCATGGGAAAATAAAAGGTGGAATTTCATGCTTTACCGACTTGTACCTAGAAAATCATGGAAAATCAATTTCTTGGAAAATTTTGATAATCAAACAGGCCAAAAATGGAAGTTGGAATTCGAATTTCAAGTTCCATGAAAAATATAGTGTAATC